TGGGTGGTGGGCACATGACGTGATATACAGATGATGTATCATAGAATTGTACCCTGGGAACCTACATCATCTTATGAACTAATGTCATCCCAATGAATTTCATTTTTAAAATAAGAATAAATAATGAACAAGTTCCTAGAAAGATGCAAGCTACTAATACTGACTCAAGAAAGAATAGAAAATCTGAATAGACCTGTAACAAATAGCATGACAGAATTAGTAATAAAAACTTTGCACAAAGAGAAGGCGAGGCCCAGGTGGCTTCACTGGTTGCAGGTTTGCAGCCTTAAAGGACATCTCCCTAATTCCCCCACCTGCCTTTCTGCCTGTAGAGTCCTGAAGCTTTTGACTAGTGTTTTTGCTCTCCTCTATACTGATAGAGTATAGGACCAAAAGAAAAAAGGAGACAGAGGAGGAGGAGGTGGAGAAGGAGGAGGAGGAGGAGGAGGGAGAAGAAAGAAGAAGAAGAAGAAGAAGAAGAAGAAGAAGAAGAAGAAGAAGAAGAAGGAGAAGGAGAAGAAGAAGGAGAAGAAGAAGGAGAAGGAGAAGGAGAAGGAGAAGAAGAGGAGGAAGAAGAAGAAACCTCTTTCACATAGCACGCTTAAAACTAATACACAAAGCAAAGCTACATTCGCACACACACATTCATACCCAAGGACATACATGAAACACATTAGGGTATCTGTGGGAGGGAGAGCACAGTGAGTGAGATTTAGGAATGAAAAGGAAAAAATAGGAGACGGGCCTTTCATAGACCAGTGATAATAAAAAGTAATGAACAGAGGACTCTTATCCCAAATATCAGCACCTGAACTTAGGAATAAAGTCTTCTGCCAAAACAACAGTAAGGGCAATCAAGTAATAGGAGGAATATGTCCATATTTCTCAAATATTACCAGTATTTTTAAATAGCATCACACTACAATAACTTTCATTTAATGATTTCCACTTCTTTTTCTTTGGGCACTGTAAAATTCTCCAGTTTCCCCATTTACTGGACTTTCTAAAGCATTTCAGATCAACTTTACTGACACTTGTCATTTCTCTTTATGTTTAAGATGAGGATGATGAGTTTAAGATGGCTGTGTTTCAAGACTTAAATTTGTGTCCGTTGTTAGAACTGAAGCACATTTTCCTAGTACAATAATATTATAAATGCTAGTAAAAAGAAGTGCCAATGTATCACAAGGGAAAATAAATGCATGAATGTGACTCAATGCATGAAGATTGAAGAAAGTTTACATTATACATCTTATTTCCCATATGTCATATTCGATAATTTACAAATCTGTTCTTCTCCATGAAACATTAAGGTGCTTCACAATTGAAGCTCTGTGGGTTTTTGAAAAAATTTTTATCACCTACCACAGTACTTAGGAAATTTATTCTGCTCAGAATAGGCAGGTCTTCAATGAATGTTTCTTGGTTGATTAGGTAAATGGCTATACGAATATATGTGGCCAATAATGTATAAAGTGAAAAAGAGAGTTAAGTCCTTGCATATTCTGTCATCCCACCACTATCAAAAGGAGAATGAAATTAAATATTAGAAAAAGGAGGATTTCAATGCCATCCTCCTGTCTACATCTCAGGCCTGCTAGGGAACACAGAACCCTCTGACTTCATGGATAAGAAGGTCTTCTACATGGTTCAGGTGACCAAACACGTGTAAATATAAAGGATAATGGAAAAAATCTCCTGTATTAATATGACCCTATATACCAAAACTTTTTTAACATGTGCCAGAGCACACAAGTACTCAGATTACCTAACTCAAAAAAAAAATATTGTTGTGTTTCAACCCTTGGTTGTCCTTAAACAAATTCTCCAGTCCCTAGGAATGGGGCCACCTAGTGGTCAGAGCGTACCAGCACCCTCTTCATTTGTGGTCTCAATACATTTCACCTCTAAAAGGCCTACTGTAGTGCCTTACATTCATCCCTGGAAGCAGTGTAAATAAATCCTGAAAAGCAACTTGACCAAATAGGTCAGGATTCTTAAAACTGCTGTTATCCAAATTTCTCCAGGCCCTATACATGAAGTAGCAGAAGTGGTAGTGATTCAAACGGTCTGGCTTTCCCTGCACATGTGAAAAACTCCTTCTTCCATCAATGTCCCTCAAGTCTTTCAACTTGAGAAAGTCTAATATTTCCCCAAATAGGTGCTACTCCACCAATGACACTGTTGGTCTCCTGGCCCTGTCTCCCGCAACCACCCCTCGCCCCTCCCGCTGCATCTAAGACAGAAGCTTTCCTCTGGCTCTGCCCAGAAAAGGAACATATCCAGAAGCAACCTCTTCACCTAAGAGCAGGGCTAGCTCTCCACTCTCCCTGGTGTGTGTCAGACTGTCTCATCCAGAGCCCTAAGCAGTGCTGCCTCTGCCTTCATCCCTCAAATTCGCCTGCACCCGCCATCTACACTCTTCCTTTCAAAGGGCCGGAACCCATCCTGCCTGGTGGAAAACTGACAGCACAGTGTCCCTCTGCCTTCCCATCCTTTCCCAAAAGCTCAAACCCCGCCCCCGGGTTAGTTTCTGTTGTTGCTGTAACAAATTACTTTGGATTTAGTGGTTTAAAACAACTTGAATTAGCTCACCAGCTAGAGGTCAGAAGTCCAAAAGTCTAGAGGTTAGTTTCACTGGGCTAAAATCAAGGCACCGGGAGGCCTTTGTTTTTTGTGGAGGTCGTAGGGGAGAAGTGTTTCCTTGCCTTTCCCAGGTTACAGAGGCTGTCTGCTTACCTACAGCCCTTTCCTGTGTCTTCAAAGACAGCAAGTTCAGCATCTTCTCTCTCCTCTGGCCTCTGCTTCTATTCTTATATCGCCTCTTTCTGATTCTGACATGCCCGCCTTCCTCTTTATTACTCTTATTGGTTATACCGATGTTGCCTGAATAGTCCAGGATAATCTCATCTCAAGATCAGTTTAAGGATAGATAAGTCAAGATTCTTATCTTAATTGTACCTGCGAAGCCCCTTTTACCACATAACATATTCACCAATTCTAGAGATTAGGATTTGGACATGTTTGGGGAGCTGCTATTCAGCCTACTGTACCTCCTTCAGCAAAACACAAATGCCTTCATGAAAACAAAGGTAACCAAGTACTTCTAGACTCATCACTACTTTTGCCAGCAATTCACCAACATGATGAAGTTTGGAATGAAACTAAGAATAACCTGAGTATCCCTTGTTTATAAGTCTCAAAGTCCTTGAGCCTTCTGCAATACTTTGTACTTTGAGATTTAAAGAAAATTTGCTCAAACTCTAATTCTACATCTAGCTGGCAGGTCATTCCAGCAAAGACTCTTAGGAGGCTTCCATTGCTTCTACTCCTTCCTACCTCGATTTCTTGCTTTTGCAGCATTCCCAGTCCCAGTCTACATCTCCTATCTTGTGCACGCTGCCCCACTGTAGCACTCTTTCCCACGTGCTAGACACGACCCCTCTGCGCCTGGCAGAGCCTGTGTGGGTGGTGGAGGGCTCCGGCAGAAGACAGAAGGGCATGGAAGGTGATTACAGCTCAGCGCAGCACTGCGAGCACCAGGAGTGCTCTCCCCAGCTCATGCACGCCACGCTCTTCACCTTTCCTACCCAAACTTCAACTTTTCTACCCAGAGAGCCTCTTCAGACATTGTGCTTTAAAAAGGAAGACTCAGATATCTTCTTAGGAAATATAAAACAGTGTGCCAGCTGTTCATATTCATAAATTAACATTTTCTTCTCTGATATATAAATATTTCAATAACTCCATTTATGACTCTAATATGTTCTTCACTCTATTGAATGCTTTTAATACATTGACACTTATCTCAAAATAATCTCATTATATGGTCATTAGCATATCTATGACATTGACAAGAAAATTGCGACTCACGGAGGCTAAGTAATTTTTCAAACAACTAATCAGTGATCAAAGGAAGATCTAAACATATACACATTGAGCACAAAGCACGTGCAGGCGACAGTCTGTCTTCTGGAATCTTTCAATCCCACACAAAGATCTGCTCCCCTTGCACACATCCCATTGTCGCAGTTCAGAAATGTAGAACGTATTAACTGGGGCACCCTGGTGTTTCTGGCTTCCTCCTAGGGCACACGCTCCCACCCACCTGAGAAGAGCCCTGCTGCCCAGGCCCACGGCTCTCCAGAGAAGGGGTGGGGCACATGGCCAGGGCACGAGGCAACTGTGTGGCAGCCTCTGCAGATTATTCACCTCCATCCATAGCCTCGTTTTTCCCTTTACAGACTCCTTCAGAAATGGAGCTAGACCTTTGTGACCTGGGGCTAGCAGCTATCTTCTGTGCAAGGCAACATTTGGGGACAAAGTTCTGATAAGATGACCCACCCTCTTTATCCTCTGATCAGGGCAACACGCCTGCGTTTCTACTTGTTAAATGGCTCCTTTCGGAATACCTCCTTCCTGCCTTATACCAGCCTTATCATCTCTACAGCAAGTGCACAATGAACAGGGAAATTCTCTACCAGCCCCCTATTGGGAAATGGTTTATGAAAGCACCTGAGAAGACCAGCACTGGCTTGATCCTAAGGTCTCGTGGTTTCTGCAGCTAGTCCACCAACTTGCCCAAGAACCCCATCTATACCAGACAAGTGAACGCACTAGCTACAGAAACATCTGTCACTAGATCTTACCTATTCTAAGTCTGGTCCTTTTTTTCATTCTTTCCTCTCTCAATTAAGTCAGACTTTAACTATGAAATCATTCAGTCCTCAGAGCACAGAGATTTAAAATCCAGCTTAAAGACTTTGATACTGTGCCTTCAAATCTCACCACTTGCTGTGGGACTTTGAACAGGGGTTAAATTTATTTAGAGAGCTAAGTTTTCTTATCTGCAGTGGGGGTGATGGTTAGGGTTGTCATGAGAACAAAAAAAGAATGCACGTAAAGACTCAGCAATCTGCATGGTCCATGAGTTCTCAATAAATGTTGACTGTGCTTATGAATACATCTCTCTCTGTTAACATCATCAAAATGGGCATTTAAAAAATATGGAACACTTCACAAATTTGCATGTCATCCTTGCACAGGGGCCATGCTAATCTCTCTATTGCTCCAATTTTAGTATGTGTGCTGCCGAAGCGAGCACAAAACATTTTTAATTCACCACTTTGCAGACTATTTTTGCAGAAGCATTCTCCATTCAGAGCTAGGCAAAACCTCTCCTAGTTTTGATGGCCTTAAATCTAGTATTCATGGGACCTGTTCCATAGCTTCAGAGAACACTGAGTCCCGAGTGCTTCTGGACCCACCTTGGCATTCTCAGTAACAGAGGATGGCTCCTTTGGCAGGTAGAGTATAACTGCTTCCCTTCACCTGCTTTTCTCTCATGCCTGTCACAGAAAAATGGCTGTAACATATCTAAGTGCTCTTGTGTGTCTGTAAAGATCTGATATTTTGCTCCTTAATTGTAGACAGGTCTTTTTCAAATGTTCTTAATACCACAAGAGCACTGCCACCTTCGGACCTCACCTTATCAGCTCTTCCCATGGAGTTCAAAGACTGAGGTAGCTGAAGGCCCTACTGGCTCGGAGCTCAATATTTCTGAGGTGCCTCCCTTTTTATCCTCCTTCTAAAGTCATTATCAGCGAGAGTTTTGTAGGGAGAGGCAGGTGAGGAGCCAGCAGTCCTTGCAGATAAGCTGAGCTTCCACTGGAGCATTTCCCTCCAGACTGATTCCTCGCTTACTTGTTCCACGTGACTTTAGTTTCTATAGTGTTTTTTGTTTTCTCAGATTTCTTGCCATCCTGCTTTTTTGGAATAATTTTCCTAGCATTAAACATATCCATGTTTTTCAAAATTATCTATCTTGCTACATATTTTTAAGAAGTTAATCTATTTATCCCAGATATTAAATGTCAATTCAAATCTTAATAACTATAAGGCCACAAACACCACACGACTAGCAACTTGTGACTCAGTCCCAACCCTCACTCTCTGCTGGTTGTCTCTCCTCCACGGACATGCATCTTGAGTTCCTGCAACAGCATCTGGCAGCTGAAATTTCTCCTCTTCCGGGGCTGCCATCACCCCTTGCAGGAATACCTGTGATTTGGTGACTGTGTGAGCCCTATTAGGGGCTATAAACATATTGTACTAATTATTACCTATTAGGAGTTATTAATCTAGCTCTCTAAGATCCTTACCAGGAATCTGAGGCTGGGGTGGATTTCCTCCTTCTTTACTGAGCTATAAAAAAGAAGAAGAAAAGAAGGAATAGAAGGAGGGAGGAGGCCCAACTCCTAGGCTGTGGTGATTTTGAAAATATGTCCATAAATTCATTAGGGTGACTTCCCTTCAAAAACAAAGTCTGATTTTCCTCCCTTTGAATGTGGACTGAACTTAGTGACTTGCTTTGAAAAGAGAATGAAACAAAAGTGACAATGATATGACTCTGGAGACCGTCTTTAAAAAGTACCCTAGCTTTCCTCATGGTTGTTCTGTTCTCCACTTTTTCTTTTTTAAAATATCTTTTATTGATTATAGTACTACAGTTGTCCCATCCCCCTTCCCCTTTATTCCCCTCTGCCTTGCACACTCCCTCCCGCCTACAATCCCCCACCTTTGCTCATGTCTATGAGTCGTACACATAAGTTCTTTGGCTTCTCTATTTTCTATACTATTCTTAACCTCCCCCTGTCTATTTTGTAACCACCATTTATGCTTCTTATTCCCTGTACATTTTCCCCTACTCCCCTTCCCCACTGAAAACCCTCCATGTGATCTTCATTTCTGTGATTCTGTTCCTGTTCTAGTTCTTTGCCTGGTTCATTTGTTATTGTTGTTGTTGTCTTACTGTCTTCCACCTTTTCTTGAGTCCCTTGCTCTGGGGATGCCAGCTGCCATACTGTGAACTGCCTCATAAAGAGGCTTACATGGAAAGGTGCTGAAAGAGGCATTTGGCCAACAGCCAGCAAGGGATTGAGACCTGCAATCCAATAGACCATGAGGAACTGAGACCTGCCAACAGCCACGTGAGTGAGCCATGTTAGACTTGGATTCTCCAGCTCCAGTCAAGCCTGAGGTGACTGTGGCCCCAGGTGAGGGCAGGACTGAAACGTCATGAGAAACCCTGAGCCAGAATCATCCATCTAACTTACTCTCTGACCCTTAGACACTGTGAGATACATATGTTTGCTGTTTTAAGATCCTAAATTTTAGGGTAATTTATTAGGTAGCAAGAGATAACTTGTACATAACTAGTAACAGCTGCCAACACATCCAGATAGCATTGAATTTTAATTTGGATTCAACAAAAGATAATCACTACATTGTAATCCAGCAATTTTGTCTATGGAAATCCAGGAACTTTCATCTACATAATTACATGTCTACACACAAAGTTATTAGGGATTATTACCTTACATAAAAAAATGTTGAGCAATAAGAAACTGCTGAGCTAAATAAATTATGGTCTGTCAACTTCAAGTAATTTTACACAGTGTTTAACAATACGTTGAAAGACTTTGTAATGATACAAACAATGCCAAATGAATATAAAATTGCATATATATTGCACTTACAACTCTGTAAAAATCTATTCATTAAAAAACTAGTAAGAAAGTCTTAGCTTAGTTCCAGAGACAGAAGCGAGGTCTTCAGGGTCTGTGAGTCTCTAACAACCACAGCCACTGTACACAGCAGCCAGGACTTTCATCATATGTAAGACGACCCTTGAAGACTCACAGAAATGTGAAAGGAAAGAGGACTTTACACAGAACTAAGATTCTTGCATCACCAGACACTGACCGCGCTAGATTTAGACATTGGTATGGCTTCATTCCTATCCACTCGCTGGTGAAATTCATTACCATTAACGAAATTCTATCGAACAATACAATTCACTGATCTTTCATAATGGACCAAATTCTGCGCTAAGCACTTTTATAATATCTTAATTAATTCTAAGATAAAAATGATTCCTAAGGCAGAACTGGAATTTAGACTTGGCTGTCAGATGGTGCTACATTATTTTGACCCTTTCTATTCATAATTCACATTAAATTAATCTGCATATTAGCGGAAGGAAGCCGTGTAGAAGCCACTGTGACCACAGAGGCGGAGATTGGAGTGACTGAGCCACCAGCCCTAGAATGTCAGCGGCCATCAGAATTTAGAGGGAGGTGGCCTTGCTGACACCTTGATTTTAGCCCACTGACATTGATTTTGAACCTCTGGTCTCCAGAACTGTGAGGTAATACATTTCTTTTGTTTTAAGCCACCAAGTTAGTGGTAATTTATTATAGCATTCATAGGAAACTAACACACTAGTATTTTCTTGAGGATGGTTATGTTGATATTCATAAGGGCATATTTATTGATTTGTTGTTTTCTTGACACATCTTTGAATACCAGCCATGTTACCCACATACCTGAACTTGTGCCCATAAAATTTATCTTCTCTTCTGTTTCTAGCCAAAGCTAGCCTAACATCTGTCCACCTCTCCTGCAGTCACTCAAGGAAAACTGCTTCAGCAATTCCTTCCTCCTTCTGCATCATTAGTCTTTCTCTTTCTACTTTCTATGGCTACCGCACAAAGATGGTATACTTCCGACCTCTTAACTAAGAAATAAGATAAAAAACCTCTTTTGGTCCCACTTAACCTTTCAGCTACTGTCTTTTCCCTTCTTGTTCCTTCCACAATTCTTTATTTAGTTGCCTGTAATTACTACAATCTCTACATTCCTTCTTCCCATTCCACTCTTTAATCCACTCCAAGCAGGGTTTTGCTAACACCCAGCTGATGGACCTGCTTTCTTTAAGATCACTGAAGACTCCATATTGCTATATACAACAGTTTTTTTATATCATCATTATATTTGATACAGTTGATCACATTTTCCTGCTTCAAACACTCCTGTTCATTTCTGTTTCAGGCTACCACCCTGGTTTCCTTTCTGTTTAGACTGTACTCTCTCAGTCCCTTTTGCTGTGTCCTTGTCACATCCTTAACCTCTGCATGGTAGAGAGACCAGGACTCAGACTTTGGGCTTTTCTATCAGCTTTTCATTCTAGCTAATATGCAGTTTTTCTCTTTTCTACCTACCATACTGACTACAGGTCATCTAATATGATGGTTTTGAATAGTTTCTACATGCTGACAATTATGATGTTATAGTTATATTCTAGACTGTCCTATGAACTCCAGGCTTACATATTTAATAACACTTTTGTATCTCTTTCGATGTCTAGTAGGTGTCTCATATATTACCTGTATAAAACAGAGTTCCTAATTCTGCCCCCACACTTTTATACTCTTTTCCATCTCAGTGAGTGGCCGCTCCCTCCTAGTAACAGTCAGGTCAGAAATCTGGCTGTGGCTCTTATCTCCCTCTTCTTCTCACTCCCCTCATCAGATCTGTCAGAAAATACTATTAACTATATTTTAAGATACATTCAGAAATCGAGCACTTTTCATTACCTGCAATGGATTTCCAGTGCCCATAAATGTGCCTGGAGCACAGTAGGCGTGCAATAGTACTGTCTGGAAAGAATGAATGAATTACATCACGTGCTTGCTCTCTGTAACTGCCTTGACAATGCCAGGCCCATAATACCTTCATGTGCTATAATCTGGCCCACGTGTTCCTCTCTATTCTCATCTTTGTCCAATAACCAACAAGTATAACATACTCCAAGTATAGGATCGGCTTTATATTTCCCAGTGTATTATGTTGTTTCATTCCTCTGTGCTTTCCTCAATGCTGTTCCCTCAGCCTAGAATATTCTTACGCTTTAAGAATATTTCAAGATTCATCTCAGCCAATAAAAATCTCATTCTAACCTAAATATTTCTCCATTGGAGCTTGCCTACTTCTGCCCACATTAATTTTACCACAGCACAAACCACACCATGCTGATGTTGGCTCGTCTCCCCATCAGAGCTCTGAGCTGCGTGTCTTGCTCATCTCGCTTTGCCATCCCTAGAGTGTAGCACAGGCCCTGGCTTGCGGCATGAAATAAATATGTACCAATGAATGGATAGAAGGGTTCAGATGCGTATTACATTGGTTCATATATGAAATCATAAAACAAGAGGTAATATAAAGACTTGTCTACTATAAATATGAATAAAGGATTCTTTGGTAGCAGCATTTAATATTTATCTTTCAAGGAAGAATGAGTTGAAAATTTGCCTTGAGAGTGGTTTATTTTTATTCATCCAAAGCAATCCAAAGACAAGCAAACATTTTCTCTTCCTGGCAGTTATTTCCCCCCTCACTCTCTCTCTTTTCAATATTTTTTTTCTACTTTGAATGAACACTTAACATGAGATCCACTGTCTTCACAAATATTAAAGTGCACAATACACTAGTATCAACTATAGATACAATGTTGTTTAGCAGATCTCTAGAGTTTATCTATCTTTCTTAACTTAAACATTATATGCACTGATTACAAAGAAGAAAAATATATTAAATGAGTATATTCTAATTTCATTGAAAAAGTATTTGTCAGACTTTCTGTTTGCCATATATTGAACTAGGGTTATACGGAAAAGTAGAATCACCTTCCACTTTTACTACCATTCTCTCCCTCTCTCTCTCTTCCTCTCTCTCTCATGATTGAAACAGCCAGTTGTCAGCTCTAACCAAATTGTACTGTAACAATACAATGAATAAAAAATGCTTTATTATCATAAGGTTGCAAGTACTACGTACAAAAGTATGTGTGGGCAGAGACAGGGGAAGTAATATAAAATGCAGTTTACTGACGTTTACTGAGTATGTACTGTGACCCACATGGTGTTCTGGATGTGATTACAGGGAAGGAACAGTCCTTTTCCTGGAGGAGTTCACAATCTCATTGCGTTTACTCAAATTGCTGTAATGCAATTTGTTACTTATCAAATTGCATCTGAGAAGTAACTGTGTGCCACTTGTTCTGTTCCCAGCTTGGAGGACACCAGTGTGCCACCAGTGTCAAAATTGCTCGGGTTTTGGTGGTCCATTAGCTTTTACGAGCTTCTAGGGAATTACTGTGGAGAATGGCAACTTTATTATTAGTGGGAACTAAGATTGCTATATGGGTGGAGAGAAGAAAGGAGTTTTGGGTAGGTAAGAAGCAGATATCTTTCTCATATAGTTACCAAAAACATCAGTGTTGTTGTTTCTGAAGCACAATAACTACAAAGGTCCTATTCAAAGAGCCAGTGTCTAGGCAAATTGACCACCTGAGCTGTAGCTTTGGGATGGTTCTTGGAATCTGGCCCCTTTTTCAGGCACCGCACTGATATTTGTTCAGAGCCATCCTTCCCCATATCCAAGAAGAGCACAGCTTTTTCTCCTAGAACCAGTGCCAGGAAGGGTAGGGCCATCAGCTACCTCATAAGCAAAAAGATCCAAAGTTTCCAGCGCCTGTCCCAGGACTCAAAACACTGCAGGCTTATTCTGTATCTTTCAGAAAAGGCCAAGACCCAAGAAGCACAAACGTCTTTTTACTCTCCTTGAGAAGAGACAGCAGTACCACCACTTTCCATTCCTTCTGGATGTATTAGCCTCCACGCAGAACACGTAGAATAGAGGAGGAAATTCTCTACTTACAGATATAGGCCTGCAAAAGTGGTGAAAAACAAAATGCTTGTCAGGTCAGTGGTGCCTTCCCAAAAATGTATAAAAAAACATCCGGTGTTGTGTGTGTGTGTGTGTGTGTGTGTGTGTGTGTGTGTCTTTGAACCTCAGCTGGATCACAAGGTTTAAATGATGCCCTCAGGGCTCTTTCTCTTTTCTCTCCACATCTCTTGGCCCTGATTTCTTTTGTTTGAACATCAGTCTCCCAATCCATTTCAAAACAGCAACTCCCCTACCCCTTTACCTTATCTTGCTCTAAGGATTCAGCTTTATGTGGCCTTTAGTACCCAGAAGCTCAGCAAGAGAAAGAATATTCTCTTTCCCTGGGGAAGGACTCCAATGGACTCTGCTTGGTCATAGGCCTGTCCCTAGACCACAGCTGTGTTCCGGAAGACGAAGTACTTAGATTGACTAGCTTGGGCCACACGCCTCCGTTACAATGCACAGGATATGAGTGGAAGGAAGCCCCACCAGGTAAGACAAGTAACACCTCCTAAGAGGGTAAGAATTTTGGCCAAAAAACGAAAACTGGAAAACCAAACTAAACGAGCACATGAAAATAACTAGAATAGGTGTTTGCTACGTTAAGAGGAATAGTCAGGTTGGCCTCCGGGTTTCTGTCGCTAGGTGGCTGGTGAAGTTGATAGAAAATGTAGAGACAGAAGCATTTTGGGCCCATAGGGAGAGCTGAGTTTTTAGAATGTTGCATTGAAGGTGACTGCAGGACATTCGAATGAGGTAATCTCTTGGAAGTAATGAGTGTTGGTAGCACAGCAGAAAGATACACATTGAAAATACAATTTTTAAATATAAAATTGATTCGCGTTAGGGTGCATCAGGGTATGCTGCAGGAAACCCACTACAATTCTTACGTGGGTAAATTCTCTAGCAAAAAGTCAAGAATCTACTTCGTATCTTTAGAAGTTTCCGTACAATATCATCCCCCTCACCTCCAGCTACACTCCTAGTCATTTCTAGATTCTCACTGTAGGCTTAAATTTGGAGAGCCTGCTAAGAGACCCTGGCAAGGAAGCCCGGGACTACAATTCCCAGCGTGCTCCGCCAAGGGGGCGGGGCTGAGTGGGGGCGCGGCCAGGAGCAGCCACCCGGCGAGCAGTGAGGCGGGGTGATCTGGCGGCGCTGAGCTGGGTGGCGAGAGGGGAGATCCCGGATGTGGAGAAGCTGGGGAGAAGGCGTGGGAGGAAGATGGACTCGATGGAGAAGGGGGCCGCCACCTCCGTCTCCAACCCGCGGGGGCGGCCATCCCGGGGCCGGCCGCCGAAGCTACAGCGCAACTCCCGCGGTGGCCAGGGCCGAGGTGTGGAGAAGCCCCCGCACATGGCAGCCCTGATTCTGGCCCGGGGCGGCAGCAAGGGCATCCCCCTGAAGAACATTAAGCACCTGGCGGGGGTCCCGCTCATTGGCTGGGTCCTGCGTGCGGCCCTGGACTCGGGGGTCTTCCAGAGGTGCGCATGTACTGGAGTGGGCAGCGCGGCCTGGGCGGGGGTCCGGAGTGGGAGCCGGGCCACGGGAGATGCTGGGGGTCCGGGGACAATCGCTGCTGGAAGGGGGGTGTGCAAGAGCCAGTGTGTCGGGGCCCCGGTTAAGAGCCCAGGGAGAACGGGCTCCCGTTTTTTCCTCCTTCTGTAGCTGCTAATGGTCATGACCTGGGGACAGTTCCTGTCCCGCCCTTGAGAAATGAATGCCACCCACAAAGCCGGAAATTTTCTCTGAACCGTCTTCCACGGCTCTTGTTGACCTCACTGGGTAAAGGAGGCCACTCTTGTGAAACAACTGCGTTAATGTGTGAACTCTGTAGACAGAGGCCACTGGGGATCCACTGTAGCTCAGCGCCTGATACCCACTTGGTGCTGTCATTAGGGAGGCATCAGGTTCATTAACGGAGTGCGGTGTAAATGTAAAGGCTTTCTCATTTTAAGATCAGCTTGGAGATCCTTTCCTGACCTTTGAAAAACACTCAACTGCTGGCTGCCTGTGAGTCAGCAAAATCTAGGGCTCCCTACATTTGTACTTAGGTAAGAGACAGTGGGAAAGCGTACAGTTGGCTGTTTCATAAGCTCGTAAACGGTTTTATCATGCCTTTGGAACCTTGGCTGCCCTGAGGATGCATCGTATAGAGACATTGTCAAATGCCATAATGGTTAGGAGTTACAAGCTGATGTCATTCATAAAAGGTGGGAGGTAGAATTCTGTGCCAAGAATGAGTTTACGCCTAGTAACTTCATCCTAATTATATTTGAATTTGTTATTATGGGGAGTAAATTATTTTAACGTTTGATGTTCGACTTTTGGTTTTTTAAGAGATGGCTGTTTCTGAAGCATATTAATTACCCACATTTATATACATGAGTTTCATTTATCCAGGCTTGTTTAAAAAGCAGATACTAAAAAGTATACGTACGGGTACTAATTTCCTTATATTTTTAATCCAAAGGAAGCCTGGGTGGAGCGAGGTAAATAGGAGCTGGCCCACAGAAGATAACACTAATGAAATAGGAAGTGTGCAGAGGAGAGATAGGGCAGGACCTGGGGGTATGGTTCAATTCAGTAAACATTTACCGAGCGCTGAATACTGCAATATTCTTCCCAGGGGATAATACCAGGGTGAATGTGACATAGTTCTTTCTCCGTGAAGCCCACAGATGTTTGAAAGTTTACAAAGGGTATACACTGAAAAATAAGGATTCAGAAGGTGCATTCAGACTGCAGTGATGTCGTAAAAGTCTGTTTTTGTGAAATGAAATAGAAATTAAAATTACAAATTGAGAGTAAAACTCATTTCCAACTTTTTGTTGCATACGTGACAAAACCCTTTTCAAACTGGCTAACCAAATAAACCGGTAAGGCTTGTTCGGAGTATCATCATATTCAAGGACAAAAAATGATTCATTCATTCAGAAAATACAGGAGTGGACAAAAGTAAGTTTACTGTTGTTGAATATGCAAAACACAGAGTTTATTCTTGTATTATTTATTAATTATTGTATTATTTTCTATATGAACAACTGTAAACCTACTTTGACCAACCCCTGTATTTATTGACTGTCTGCTTTGTGACAGGCAATAGGGCCAGTCCCTAGCCTCTTGTAGCTTGCATTATAATAGGGAGAGACTGACAATATGCAAACAACTTAAGGTACATTTATCAAGTGGTAATAAATATTTTAAAGTTAAAGTAAGGTAATGGTACACTGTCACCAGAATCTTCTGTTTCTTGATTTTTCTCTATAGGCTCTCCCTTTACCACAACGTGGTTGTGTTGAGAACTGCAGAACTTCCCATACACCTAACAACTCTGTTCAAACCTCTGGACTCAACCAGAGCCCAGCATGGATTCTAGCAGCCTAAGTCTGTTCTTAGGATGATCCCAGTCCCACTTAAAAATGCCTGCCTGAGAAAGCTCAGTTCTGCCAGAAGAACTTTTCTTTCAACCTGTAGCTCCTGAATCCCCTCTTACAGCAGTTACTTTAGAAAGTTTATGTTCTGGCTGGTGTGGCTCAGTGGCTTGAGCCCTGGCCTGTGAGCTGCAGGGTTGCTGGTTCGATTGGTAGTCAGGGCACATGCCTTGGTTGCAGGTCAGGTCCCCCATGGGGGTGTGTGAGAGGCAACCACCCATTGATGTTTCTCTTCTTTCATTCTCCTCCCCTTCTCTCTCTAAAAATAAATAAAGTTTGCAATTATAAATCTCTTTGCTGCCATTCGAGACCTAAATTTACCAGTCCTCAAGGACCTGACAGCCATCTCTTTGAAATGTGAACCTTCTGGGGAGATAACTCACTCAGTCCCCAGTCCCTGGGGAGGATGCAGGTGCCTTGCTTCACCTTGCACCTTGCCTCCTGTCATAAAGTTAGATGTTTTCGTCTCCTCTGGTTAAGCACCAGTTAACAAACCCAGAGTGGCGTAGTTACGTGGGCCGACCTCTGTAACACCCCTCAGTGCCTTTCCCTAGCATACCCCAGCCTTGTTTGGAGGAATTTAAATTCAGTTCATGCTGGATTCTGTTCCCTATTGCAATGAATGAATAAAACCAGACCTTGCTGCTAAAACTAGTGTCTGGCTTTGTCCTTGACAGTATTCTTCATATTATGCCAAGTTTTGGTCTAGTCAAAAAGAACTTTCCTCTTTTTAGCTTAAAGTCTCATTAGGCCTCACTGGGTCCCCTGCTCATCCTTGAACCAGTCACTGTGGCAGTGAAAACAGTGCTCGTCTTGGTATAATTTAGCCCTATGTTCCACACCTGGAGGGAATGATGAAGCAGCCCTGACACAAAGACAGAGGTTCATCAAGAGAAAAAGGAGTGCAGTTACCGAAAGGGAATAGGCGCTGTAAGTCAAAACCCAATAAACGGCCATTGTAGCAGACGTTGGGGATTTTGCCACGAAATTATTGGAAAAGATGTGTATATGAGTATATTAAGCAATGATTTTCCAGTCTTCATTTATTGAGTGCATCTGTTTGAAATTCCATGAAAGAATAAATGACTGAAGCGCTGTAGTAACTTTTTCCGTGCCAGTTTTATCTAATATATGTAGACTAAACTCCTTAATGTTTTATACTTTGGGGCACCCTATGGTGTCTGTCACTGTGCCAATAATAATAATTAGAAGTAATAAAATTAGCATTTCCCTTACTAGTAAAAAGAGTATAATCTTTCCAACTCCCTTTTCTAACTTAAGATATTATTTGTTAGTGGGGTTTTACTCTGTAAGTCACACAGCTGCTTGCTATCAGGCATCCTTTTTAGGGATCTGGAAAGTTTCAGAAATTACTAGAAATTACAGCGCTACTTCCTCCATGAAGCTTTTGCTAGTCCCCTCTGTGGAAATTAATTGTGCCTTTGTTTCCCCATGTATAGCTGTGTTGTTCATATCTTTGTTTAATGCGTGCACTGTGCTGGGAGGAAGACCATAGACCCTGGGGTCAAAGTGTGTGGATGTATTAAGTGCTAATTTGGGAAAATCAGTTTCTTTGAGCCTCCATGTCATCATCTTGAGAATGGATTTGTGTGTGTCGCATAGGCTTGCTGAAGGAATTAAGTAAGAGAAAGTATGTACAACCATTAGATTAGTGCCTGACATAGAGCACGTGTTCGATCTTGACACTGTCCCCTTGTATTGAAGGTTTTTATATTCTTCATCTCTTCCATGGGCCAGTTGCCTTACTGGTAAAGTGAGAAAGTTGTAATTATCTTCAACGCTTTTTTAAAAAATTTATTTATCTTTGAGGGGAAGGGAAGGAGAGAGGGAGAGAAAACATCAATGTACCGTTGCCTTTCGTGTGTCCCCTGCTGGGAACTGGCCAGCAACCCCGGTATGTGCCCTGACTGGGAATCGAACCACGATTGTCTGGTTCTCAAGCCCGCGCTCAGTCCACTGAGCTACACCAGCCAGGGCTTAAAGCTTGTTTTCATGTTAACATTCATTGGAACCAGATTTGGCCTGGGATGACCCTTGCCCTACTAAGTGGAAAGCTTCTTATGAGAAACTACTACCTTACTCACTTTGGTGTGCTTTATATATCAGAACCTCAATTAAAATGTGCTGGTTTGAATTTAATTGACTTGTTTTGAAGCTGCAGTTAGAGTTTGGAGCAGCCTTTCTGCCTCTCATCGTCTACTTTCTTTCTTCAACAAGTGTTTACCCCAGGAAGGAACTGAAGAAAATCTGGCTGCTTTGTGTTTTTCAGGACCAGAACATACCTTGGAGATTACTTTGTTCAAACTAATGATTTGGCTCAATTGAGCCAAATTTTCCTGGCCTGATCAGACTCAGACCTAGCAGTACTTTAAAACTGACTAACTTGGATTCTTAGCAGTCAAGAAAAATGCTGAGATAATTTTATTTTCATTTAATAAAGTTATTGTTAGAGCTGAATTTGTAAAAGCTTGATTTTCTGCAGTGGTTCAGTTCTGTATAAGTAAAGCTCAGAACAAGTTGATTTTTTTTAACTGCTGCCTAACATAAAAAATAAACATTTCTAGGGTGTGGACTTATGACTAACAAAAGGCCTCTGTTATCTTTAAAATGGCTGCGCCTGATTTGAAATAACTTCATGGGCATCATGGTTGATATTCCTGTTTATCCTGTTAGAGGTAGTGTGACTTCATGTGAGGCTAAAGCCACTGGCATTTAGACTTTGACATTTACTCTAAACTTGATTGTAAATTTTATGTGGCCTCTTTGTTCACTTGCTCATTCTTTCTCTTTTGCCCTTCCTCATTTGCCCTTCCTCTTCGGTTTTGATTCCCCTAAACCAAAGCAAAATTGTCTATTTACTTAGACACTTTAATAATAGATGATGATCATTGGATTTTAAGTGTACATATTGGGTGCTATTTTTATATTCCCAGTGACATTGCCTTACATAATACATACAGATTAGACAATTTGGACCTTCAATGGTCTAAAAACAGAACTTTAACTTTCTTTCCAACAGAGCCAGTGTGAGGATTAAATGAGACTGTGTAGATGTTTTTATTAATGTATCTATTTTATTTTGAACTGCCAACATTTTTTTTTAAAGTTCATTCTGTGTTGTGGTGTATAGTTAGTCCGCATAACAACCGTAAGAGGCAATTACTGTCATCACCTCCATTTTCCTGATAATTGAGGCTTTGGGGGAGTATGGATTTTGTGTAGTTGTATAACTAGTATGTAGTGTGACCCTTCCCATAGACTTCATACTCTCAACTACTTCCTGTTTCACTCAACAAATATGTATTAGCACCTGTTACACAGCAGGCACTATAAAAATGCTTTGTGGAAGGTAAGGAATTACAGAAAGGTTAGTTGTTGCTTCTTTACCTTTTCCTCAATGGCTTCAAAGGAACTGGAGTACTGTGCCGGCCAACACAGTACTGTAGGGCTGAACGACATGGCCCGTTCTCAAGGTCCGTAGATCCTCGGTGTCCGGAATAGTGCCTAGTGTCTGAGACGGAATAGGACTAAATAAATGTTTCATGAGTGGAGGAATGAATGAATGATAAAAGGCAGTAGAGAAGAAAAACAAGCAAACAAACCTCTTCCCAAAACCTCTCTCTTATTTATCTTTTAAGCATTTCAAAAAGATCACCGAATCCTGTGGTGTTGAATTTTCACCCAATAAAGATCAGGACAATAATGTAAATGGCTTCAGCAATTTATTTAATGATGTAAATTATATGTCAAAAGACCCATATTTTTGTTTTTAGTGTTCACTTTTAACTGCATTCTTTTATCTTACCGCCCTCCCTCGCTTTCTCTATTTAAGAAATTCACTAGATTTTCAATGGTACTTGACTTTGTTACATACCTTTGACCGTCACATTTACCTATTGAAAAATCTATCCTCAAATTATTTCAGATTTTGGGGTGGAAGAAGACAGGGTCAGAGTGACAGAAGTAGATACGAGACACCTGACCTCTAGCCAGTGGCTCATTTTATTTACTAGTAATTCCTTAGGGAAACAGTGGGGGAGGGGAGATTAATTGACTTTATTTCTTAGATTTAAATCCTCCTTCTGCAAATATTAAAGGGAATAAATCAAATTAATAAATGAAATAGATGACAGAAAATTTTCTTTAGTTACTTTCTTTTCAGACTTGGCGATTGAAGTAGAGACATTTGACACTTGTAATTCCTCTTCAGAGAATGTTGAATGAAGAGGCTAAAAAAAAGTACATGCATATGCCAAAGACTATAAATCATTAAATTATCTTTGTGTAGGACACTATTAAAACATATGGCTAGAGTAGTATTCACATCTTCCATTTCTAGTAGTGGGAGTCTGTAAAGGTCCCTGAAACTTTTCCATAGAGACTGCTGCGCCTCTCCAGGTCGTGTTCTAATTGTTATCAGTGGACTGTAACCCAGTGGATTGCGTTCAAATATTTATATACCCATTATTAATTGGCAAAGAGAGTTGCACATTTTTGTTATTTTGGGGCCCAGACTTATCATTTAGCTTCTTCTAAGTTTAAAACTTTCAGCTTCATTCATGGTTTGGCAGAGCGAAGTCCACTTTTTTTTTTGACAAGTATATTGGAATACTTTATAAAATATCTTAAATTTGGATGAGGAATAAGCAGCAAAGTATTTTTTATTTTTTTAAATTTGAACTTCTAGAGCTACTATTTTGCTTAACACAGCAGTGGCCTTAAAAATATCAAGTATCTTTATAATTTCATGTAACTATATCTAGAGCCACATCAATAATATTTATATAAATAGCAATTATGTTATATGTAGTATAATTACTTCTGTATGTAAATATAAATATATCCAGGGTATTTTATTCAGATATTTAAAAATATTGCTTATATTCAAAATACTTTATAATTTTGAAATTTTATATGGTACCTCAGTACTCATCATTAACTCGTTCTGGAACACTCGTATTGACAAGTGTCAATACCAGTAAGTACCAAACAATCAAGCATTTTCTTTTGCGGGGTGGCATCATGACTCCTAAAAGTTCTAGCAAGTGGGACAAGTCCCAGGCAAGCACCAGTGCTGAAACATGTTTTTCTCATCAAATGTGATAAGTTCAGGGTTCGACAGGTTCTGAAGCTGATGAGTATTGAGGTATGACTGTACTTTGGATCCCTAACATTATTTTGATGGTACAAAAACTATTCTAACTTTATGTAAGCTGTATTTTTGGGTTTTAGAGCTCCTTTTTATTTTTAATGGTTTTTTTTAGTGACTTGGCATTATTTATTTATATATTTTTAATGCCTGTACAGTGTGTGGGTTTCAACGGATCACGATGAAATTGAGAATGTGGCCAAACAATTTGGTGCACAAGTGCATCGAAGAAGTTCTGAAGTCTCAAAAGACAGCTCTACCTCATTAGATGCCATCGTAGAATTCCTTAATTTTCACAATGGTATGCGTTTAATAGTTTATTCAAAATTTTATGTAATTTCTAACTTGCTTGTCATTTCCCAAGACTTTAACATTTGCATTTAAGATTTCTGGCTTACAAATAACTTTATTCTGATATCCTTTTAATTTGTTTTTTTTAAGAGGTTGACATCGTAGGAAATATTCAAGCTACTTCTCCATGTTTACATCCTGCTGACCTTCAGAAAGTTGCAGAAATGATTCGAGAAGAAGGATATGATTCTGTTTTCTCTGTTGTGAGACGCCATCAGTTTCGATGGAGTGAAATTCAGAAAGGAGGTAATCTGTTACATCAGTCTTTATTTTAGCTCATTTTATGGAGAATCAGTTTATTAGTTTTTCATATGCAACTGTTCTTCAGGAGTAAGGAGAGTAATGAGGGAGCAGTAAAAGAGAACATGTGATTCCTAACTGTAGTAGGTAATGACATTTCTAATCAGTCCTGAATCTTGTGATTACTGAGGCAAGACAGTGAGCCCAAATTGCGTCTTTGCTTTACTTTTTACAGAGACATTTTAACCCTGTATGTGCCTTTTGATATTGACTTTATAATTTTTCTAGATCAAATACTTTTATGTTCTAGCCATGTTTGACAAATTCCAATAAGTCATATAGAATTGTGGGAATAGAAAGCATTCACCAAAAAGTTTCAGAGGACCTCAAGAATGAATTGTGCAATTACTCCCCAAAATATGTAACTCTTTATGTAAGAAGAGGTCCATAGGGTTCAGCTAGAGCTGAATTTCTAGCCAGATAAACCAGCAAAATATTTAATACAAATAGAATCACCAACAAATAGATAAATGTAATATACTTCAGGAAAGGCATTGCGGTCTCTGTTAGGTGCCTTGACATTTCCTGAATGCAGGAAGCTGGCCTAATTGTCTCTGACATGTGTGTAACTTAAGATGTGATTCTTTTCAAGGTGTATCTTTAACATGTCATTGCATTACCTTGTACCACCATCTGCTGTTCCTTCTAAGAAATCAGCTGTAATTCCTGCTGTTGTTTCTCTGAATAGGATTTTCCTCAGGCTACTTTTAAAATTTTATATTTAGTTGTACTGATGTGCTTTTCTTTGTGTTCATTTTTAAGGGGTTCTCTGAACTTGTTTTATCTGTAGATTGATAATCTGTCATTGGTTTTCAAAAATTCTTTTTAAATATTTCTTCTGCCACATTTTCACTCTCCTCTCTTTCTGGGACTCCCATTTAATGGATTTTAAACAATTTTGTGGTGTCCACATGTCTCTCATGATCTGTTCTGTATTGATTATTTATTTATTTATTTTTCTCTTTGTGTTTCATTTTGAGTGATTTCTATTGACTTACATTTGAATTCACCAATCCTTTCTTCTGACTTGTCCGGTGCCCTATAAATTCTGTCCGGTGAACTATTTCAGATACCGTGTTTTTCCATTGTAGAACATACCTTTAGGTTATTTTTTAGAGATTCCATTCTCTCATGAAATGCTACATCCTTTCATTCTTTAAAAAAAAAAAAATAAGTCCTGGCTGGTGTATGTAGCTCAGTGGATTGAGTGCGGGCCTGCGAACCAGAGGATCACAGTTCGACTCCCAATCAGGGTACATGCCTGGGTTGCAGGCCAGTTCTCAGCAGGGGACATACAAGAGGCAACCATACATTGATATTTCTCTCCCTCTCTCCTTCCCTTCACCTCTAAAGATAAATAAATAAAATCTAAAAAAAAATTAAAAAATATTTTTCTCTAATGTTTTCAGTATGTTCATGATAGTTATTTGAAAATTTTTAATTGCATATTTCAATATCATGTGTTTCTGCTTCTTTATCATATTTTATCATATTCCATAGAGACTGGAGTATATTTCTATTAGGCTGACGGGATAAGGGGCTAATCACTTTGATCTAATTAGGAGTTGGGCTGGGTTACAGCTATAATTTCCGTTCACCTATTACTGCAGGTGTCTGTCAGGCACCTTGTATGTATTGATGATACCCCTGTACTAAGAGGACGCTGGGATCTAAGCACTTTGAAACTGTAATGATCTTTCCCTGCCTTCCCGGTGATTCCCAGCTTCCTTTGCCACCGCACATGCAGTGAAGTTCTGTCGGGAGAATCACAGGATGATAAGAACTGGATTTGTGTTTGAGGTTCCCACAAATGACAGTCTGTGACTCTAGTCCACAGGACTATTAAAAACTCTTCTCGTTTCTCCTTATTCCAGCAGAGTCTCCCTGCTTAAACCAAGCTTGATCTTTCTCTTATGTCTTCCTCAAACTAAGCAAATGTCCCTAGCGAGAGTTCAGGCACTGATCCTTGTTCGCGTAGGAAGGACTTATCCCTCTCTTTCCTGTTTTTCAAAGTACCACTTGAATTATCTAGTTTACACATACTTGCTTATTGTCTGTGTGTACCACTAGATTTCACACTCCAGGAGAGTAGAGAGAATTATCTTCACTGCTGTGATCCAGCTCCTATAAAATTATACCACATATTCAATATACGTATGCCAAGTATTTTCCTAATTATATCAAACATTGGAGTGGAGTTGAGCAGAGGATGGTTTAGTTAGGAAAGTATGTAGAGGTTATTTCTACCACTACATATTTTTTATATAAAGAATTAAGAACCAAAAGTGAAGAGTCTGAAGAATTACCAGCTACTTAACACACACACAGGTGCATACATACCCATATACATCCACAAACACAATTTAGGTAAAAGGCAAGGGAATCCCTATATGCCAGTAAGGAGGGCATCATTTATTATATCATATTATCATAATTAATGTTGATATTGCTGAGCCTTCATTACCAAGATTAATAATAAATAAACATTAGTGTGGTTAATATCTTTTTTAACCACTGGTGAGAATATATAACATTTCAAACTATAAAAGTTTCAGTAATTTATGCCCTGGCTGGTAAGCTCAGTGGATTGAGCACGGGCCTGTGAAGCAAAGGGTAGCGGTTTGATTCCCAGTCAGGGCACACCCCTGGGTTGCAGGCCAGGTCCCCAGTGGGGGACACATGAGAGACAGCCACGCATTGATATTTCTCCCCCACTCTTTCTCCTTCCCTTCCCCTCTCTCTAAAAATAAATAAATAAAATATTTACAAAAAAAGTTTCAGTAGTTTAATGGTGAAATTTTCACTTTTCTGTAATAATTCCATGAAAGTAACTTCTAAACCACATGAGATAAATAATACATACATTGTGTTTCTATAGAAACAAATAATGAGGAATAATTTAAAGGGTTCAAGTATTGAATACGAGTATTTTATTACAATTCAGGTTTTTTAATCTATTGTACTTGAAGGTTGCCTTGATGTCCTCCCAAAGCATTATATTTATATAAATACCGTAAAATCCTATTATGCAGAATTGCTCTATGAAATACTTTATTTTCTATTATTATTATTGTTATTATTAGAAAACAAAGAGAAGTCATCAGAATTAGTAGAGGTTTTGTTAAGATCCTTTTAATTATTTATCCAGATACAGAAATGTTCTATATTCTGAGTTTATTTTTATGCTAAATGAACACTTTTAGTATCCAAAGCAGTGTAGACTTACTGTAGCTTTTTGTTTTTAGTTCGTGAAGTGACTGAACCCCTGAATTTGAATCCAGCTAAACGACCTCGTCGGCAAGATTGGGATGGAGAATTATATGAAAATGGCTCATTTTATTTTGCTAAACGACATTTGATAGAGATGGGTTACTTACAGGTTTGTGCCTTCATTTTTAAAAAACCTCTCAGAACCTTTTGTGTATATGCTTTGAATTTTAGGAAAGACGGATGGCACAGTTCGTAATGGAAAATACCAGCCTGTAGGGGAAAGTCAGTACTGACAAGATTTATTATCTGAGGCATTTGTCCTACCGGCTCACCCAAACTGGTCTCTGGAGTCCATTTAGTAAACATGCAAGGACTTCTGCTACAACTGTAACATTAAGATGAGAAATGAATCAAGAGTTGAATGTTCTACGAGTGTCCTGGTAGTCATATTGTTCCATTCAAAACTCTGTTATGGTTATGTTACTGTTGTACAGTTGAATAACTTCTATTGCTTTATTAAAACAACAACAAGAACCCAGTATAGTAAAGTTAAAAGAGCAGCAACCTCAGCATCGTGAAAACCAATTGTACTTTTGTCTCTATCCCTATGTAACATTGCGTATATTGTTTTATCCCTTTTTGCTCTTATCTTAAAATAAGGAACTTGGCTGTCTCTCTCATCTTTAGAGCCTATATGGTTATATCATACACTATTTTTTCATTTTAGTTAAAGCTGTTATTTATTCAGCACTTACTATGCACAAGGACTATATGAAACACTACATAGGGTATCTCTTGTAATCTGTAGAGCAACAGAATAAAGTGGACATTCCTCGCCCAGTTTTTCAGAGGAAGAAATGGCAGCTCTGAAAAATGAAGCGATTGGCTCAAGGCAAAAACAAGTAGTAAATGGTACTGTCAGGATTTGGATTCAGATCCTTATGTCACTCAAAAAATAGCATTAAAAAGAAAAGTTAGAATTCTACTCTCTATAGTAAAAATTCTAATGTGACTTATGCTCTGAGGGAAAAGTATTTTTCTAATCTGCTGGTCAGTATGTAGACAAAGTTTGACTGTTAAGGAAAATTCAATTTGACACAGATACCACCATCCCTAACTGTGGTTTGACCCTTCCCTAAGGTATGGAAAAATATGAAGTGTCTCATCATAGGTAGACTTGTGAGGAGACTAGCAATACTGAAAAACAAAATTGTCCACTAATTGACCTTGATGCTGAAATGAATGTAATCATAGGGAAGGTTTCTCCTCTTGCTCCCTTATCCCAGGATCAGGAAACCATCCCGGCGTTTGCTCGCATATGACCCAGACAATATGACCCCGCTCCCATCGGTAGCGCAGGGATCTAAGGTAGTTCTGTACGATAGATACTACAGTTATGTTTCTCTCCCCTGTCTTGCTCCTAGTTTTAAATAGGAACAAATTCTAAGCACATTTATACTGCTTTTCAATGATGATGAGAGAGACTTACTTAGAAAATTCCTGTGGTCATACTACTGGAGGACGGGTATTATTTCTGCTTTTGGCAAACTTAAAATAGAAATCTATTTGAACAAAAATGAGAACTTGCACTATGTAGATGAAATGTTAAGGTTATTTGTTTTACGTGGTTTGAATATATGGGAAACAAAAAGATAAGCTTTCCCCTCCAAAAAAAAAAAGGATTTGTTGAATGCTGCTAATGGTACTGGGTTATTCATTTTTCTCAGTACTATAGAAACAGATGCGTTGTTCTGTTATGAGGAACTTTTTGATGTATGTGATGCACGTTAAAAACAGTACTCATGGCATTTGTACCGTGTTTAGGGTGGGAAAATGGCCTACTACGAAATGCGAGCCGAGTACAGTGTGGACATAGATGTGGATATTGATTGGCCTATTGCAGAACAAAGAGTATTAAGGTAAGAACAAAATTTACATAGCCTTGGCACGAGACCCTAACATTATTTTTAGTAGATATGTTTAATTATATTTAGAAACACTGATTTGTAATACTCCAGCTGTCTTAGGATCCATGTAATTAGTCTGCTCATGTGAGGAAGACTCGTATGTAAAATATTCCTGTAGATGACCTATTCAGTAAGTTGAGAAACACAGAGTACACCCAGACCACACTACCTAGGCTCCACTGTAAGGTGAAATGTGTATGTGAAGTAAATATGAAGGATAATGCTTGAATAATTAAATGGGAATGTATTATTAAGTGTACTGGCATTAGCCAGATGAGAAGTAGTGATTAGTATTGCACTTGTATTCAAAGGTCTATTTGGTTTCTTTTAGATATGGCTATTTTGGCAAAGAGAAGTTTAAGGAGATAAAACTTTTGGTTTGCAGTATTGATGGATGTCTCACCAATGGCCACATTTATGTATCAGGAGACCAAAAAGAAATAATATCTTATGATGTAAAAGATGCTATTGGCATAAGTTTATTAAAGAAAAGTGGCATTGAGGTATGTGTCCCTGAATATAGCAATGTTTTTTAAGATTGTGATTCAGGGTCAAGGAATATGTGAGGGGAATGAGATACACATTTTTAGTATTGGCTATTAAAATATTATATTTAGCCTTCACATACCTAGAAAATTTATATGAGAAAAATGTCAAGCAGCAAGTAATATTTATTTTTTATTTAATAAATGTGAACATACTATTTTTGAATAGGTGCTATCTAGTTGTCATAGGATCCTGCATCAATAGAGAGTTAATAAAAAATAGGTGCCACTGTTTAGAAAAATAGCAGATATCTTGAGACCTTAAAATGTAGCTTATTCATATGATTAAAAATTTTAATTCAAAATAGCATAATATTTATTTTATTTACTTTTTTAATAGACACATACTTGTTTTATATAGTTAGGTATAGTTAACAGTCAACAATTAACATGATAACAATAACATTTATTTAAAAAAATGAAGCCTAAGATGATTCTCATAATTCACTAAAAATATTACATATGTGTCCTGAGCAGCACAAGAGACAGATTGTAGACCTTCCTTTGGATTAATTGAGTTGTAGGAAAATCTTAGATTGGCTTCAGACAGTGTATGTTGAGTTTTTTTATCTGTAGATCGAATCCTTTCCACAGTAGAAAACAGTGTCTTTCACCTTTATTTGATTTTACTTAAAGCTTTATTTGATTTTACTTAATTTGTCCTTCAAAAGGTCAAAGGACTACTCAGTTGTGATTTATATGGCTTATGAAGTCATATCTTATTCTGAAAGATTCGTTTCCTTTATTTGCTCATTTTGCCTTTTCTTTCTTTTTCAGGTGAGGTTAATCTCAGAAAGGGCTTGTTCAAAGCAGACACTCTCTTCCTTAAAACTGGATTGCAAAATGGAAGTCAACGTACCAGACAAGCTAGCAGTTGTAGATGAGTGGAGAAAAGAGATGGGCCTGTGCTGGAAAGAAGTGGCATATCTTGGTTGGTATTTTTCATTCAGCCATAATAAAATGAGCCAGGATTTTTTAAAAGAAATAGAATATAAGAAAAAAATCCCCAGGATCAGTATTATCGTCAGGAAACAGAAACTCTCTTACATTACTGACAAAAAGTATCAAATTGGGATAGCCTTTCTGGAGTTTATTTTGATGATATCTATCAAGTGTAGCCTGGTAACGTGATGACCAGCACATGCTGTGGAGAGAGGCCACAGCCCAGACTGGCCAGTTTCAGTGCGGAAGGCCTTCGTGTCCATACCTGTAAACTGGACTCTTAAAACGGCCCATTGTCATTGGTCTGTTGTAGAGATTAATGATATAATCTGAGTCTTAAGCATTTAGCAGGTTTCCAATATATAAAAAGTACACTGAATATTTTTAGCTGTTACTAGATGTACATCATTTTGACCCTAAAATTCCAATTCCAGGAAAGAAATTGGACAAATATGCCAATAATGGAGGAAAAAAAGAAATCACCTACATATTATACAAAAATAGAATATCTATAAAATCAAATACTATGCACCCATTAAAAACAGTGCTCTAAAGTATATTCATTGACATGGTCAGGTGTCACAAGTGTTTTACATACTACTAAGTAAATACATTTATTAGATGTCTACTGTATGCAGGCTTTGAACCCATTCCTTGGAGGTAATACTTACTGAGCTCACAGCCTAATGATGTCAGTATTTTAAATACCAATAATAGCTTGTTATTAAAGTACATAATAACTGTAAACCATGTATGAATTAAATATTTACCAGGGTAATATGGGCCTTAAAAAGTACAGAATGCTTTGGGAGCACATGATCTGGGGCCTTCAGGAATAGCCTTTGAACTACATATGGAGGTTCTATGGACAAAAATACTATCACTTTGGATAGAAAATGATCTAGGTTTTGTAAGAAGAAAACAATTCTAGTAGAATATATAATAAATCCAAGCTCTGCTTATTATCTGTGTGACCTTAAGTAAGGTCTCTAAGCCTTGGTATTCTTGTTCATAATATAAACACAAGTCAAACGCTGTAAGGCCATTGGAAAGAGAATCAGAAATGATATAAAATGTGTAACATCATGCCTATATATATGAGGTGTGTCCAGAAAAAGTTCAGCCATTGCTATTATAACAAGAACAGTTTTCGTGACATTGATGTAACCTTGCAGCCATGGAGAGTGAACTGGAATGTGCATGTATGAACAATGACGACTTCACTGTACCAGTCAGTGGGGGTGGGAGACACCATTGAGTGAGCATGTGGCCCTCACATTAAATATGACTGAGCAAGTAGAGCAACAAATCTGCATCAAATTTTGCTTTAAGCTTGAACACTCCTCTATGGAAACTATCCAGACGATTCGGAAGGCTTTCAGGTATGATGCAGTGAATGCAGCACAAATAAAGTGTAGCACGAATGCTTCAAAGATGGTTGAGAATCTGTTGAAAATTGTCTATGTTCAGGAAGGCCTGCGACAAGCAGAACACCTGAGAATGTTGAACGTGTAGGGGCTGTAGTCAACAAAATCAGACAGGTCCCAAGGTCTACAGGGACCCCCCCATGTGGGGTCCTAAGGTATCTACTTTGAAGGGTACTGAGGCATTATTGTCCTATGTACAATGTTTCATGTATCTTCAATAAATATCTTTCTCATAGTACATGGCTGAATACTTTCAGAACAGAACTTGTATAGTAAAAATAAATGTATTACTTATATAGGTAAAACTGTAGAATTATATATGCCAAAACATAATGTCTATTTATAAATAGTGATAATTATGATGCCTTTGAATATTGTAGCCTTTATTTAAAAATGTTTCTACCAAGATAAGCACTACTTATATGACATAAGAAGAAACTCTAAAAGGGAGATAACAGGGGAAAGAAGGGGAAGGACGGTCAAGGAACCATGGACTAAGCCACAGGGGGGTAGGGTTGAGGTTGGGGGTGGGTGAGGTGAGGGAACGTGGTGGTGGGAAAATGGAGACTACTGTATTTGAACAACAATAAAAAATGGTAAAAGAAATAAAATAAAAAATGTGAAAATTTAAAAAGTAGAGGTCAAGAAAATCAGGAAAATAGAGAATAGACTCCGAATTTAATTGAAAAAATCAGAGCAGTGTTTTATATGGACCACATAAATACAATATAGAACAATATATTCCTTAGAAATATTGATACTTTTTTATAAGTATTTTTCAGACCATAAAAGCCCCCCCCCCAATTTGGGAGGAATAATGGTTGTTAATGCTGCTTTTGAGTTCTGTTTACATTTACATTGGTGAAATATTATGTTATTTATGTTATTAAATATTTTACCACATTTTTTGCTTCAAATTTTTTTTCTATTTCCCTCCTCTAAAACCTAGGTGCATCTTATGGTCCAAAAAATACAGTAAGTAAAACTTAGCTTGAGGGATGGATAATACAAAGAAATACCTTAATTTTCATCATCTTTCAATGAAAACAGTTTGAATTTTAGTACATTTAAAGATAAGAAAAATATTTCAATAGGTAAATGTAGAAAAAATGTAAAATAAATAAACTTTCAAATAGCATTTTTTATTAGTTTTGCTTCATAGTATAATAAGTCAAACTCAGAATGGTCAATCTAAGGTATTGGGAGCTTCTGAAATTCATCCTATCAACAAAAGGGGGAATTACAAGGGTAGGAACTGAAAAGAAGCCAGGCAGGGAAGAAAGGGATGTGGTTATGTCAGCTGTGATGGTGATTTTTCAACAAAATAATTGGTATACAAATGAGAGCTATTACAGATTAAAAGAGACTTAAGATACATATCAACAAAATGTAATATGTAGATCTCGTTTGGTCTCGTATAGTTGATTCACATAATCAACTATAACAATACAATTTTGAGACAATTGGGGATATTTGATTATGTACTATATTATTAGATGATATTAAGGAATTGTTGGTTTTATTAGTTTGATGATACTATTGCCACGTTTTAAAAAATATATGTCTCCATTAGAGACAGATGCTAAAGAGTTTGGGGAGTAAAATATATCTGGGAAATTTCTTTTCTCCCCTCTAAAAAACTAGATGGTAAGGAATAGAGAAAAAATATTGATAAATGATCCAAAGCATTGATAATTATTCCATCTTATTGATTACTCCAAGAACTTGGGTTCTTGCATATATTTGAACTTCTAAATGATCCATAAATTGTATATGTAATTTCTAGTTATTATAATGTGCATGGCAAGCAGAAAGTATACTCCATTCTCCTTCTTTAACTGACAAGGGTTTATGTTTAATTGTTTGGGAAAACCCCCCCACCTCTGTACTTTTAAATCTTTTAACATAGTTTTGTTCCATCTGGGTGTCCAGCCTTTTGGCGTTTCTGGGCCATACTGAAAGAAAGAGAGTTGTTGTAGGCTGCACGTTAAGTATACAAACACTAGTGAAAACTGATGAGCAAAAGAAAGGTTTTAAGTGAATTCAGGATTTTGTGATGGGCTGCATTCATAGCCATCCTGGGCCACGTGCAGCCTGTGGACAGCGGGTCAGGCACCTCGATCCATAGTGTTCTTATATTCAGTGCTTTAAGTTACTAAAGTTACCAGATTACTTATTGGTTGCTGTTTGCATTATATGGAAAAATACCTTTGTCTCTTTAAATATTCAGCCAGTATTTCCTCTACTTGATAGGAAATGAAGTGTCTGATGAGGAGTGCTTGAAGAAAGTGGGCCTGAGCGCCGCTCCTGCCGATGCCTGTTCCACCGCCCAGAAGGCTGTTGGGTACATTTGCAAGTGCAATGGTGGCCGTGGTGCCCTCCGAGAGTTTGCAGAGCACATTTTCCTACTAATGGAAAAGGTTGTTAATTCCTGCCAAAAATAGAAATTAGTACCATGTTGGGAAAGAAATATATAGCCTACTTCAGCTACTTTTATTTTTGATCAAGTACAATTCCATGTTCTAATGTTACAGAGAATGTGATTCAATTTGTGATATATCTTCATATCTTCTAAAGCAAGGTCTTCTGAAGTTGTCACTCCAAAATATTCTGTGAAATAATTGTGCTGTACTTTTCTCTTTATGCAAGATAATTATTCAGAAGTTGATTACTGTCTTTCTCACATTTTTAGTAAATGCAAGTGAGAACATGATCAAAATTCACTTTGTATTGTACCCTGTAAAACTGTGTTTGTGTGCTTTTAAGATGCTGATGTTTTATTTATTTGGGGACAGTGTATGTGGTAAGACATGCTCTTCTATTAATAAAATTACATTTCACAGACTTGATGAAAACTGCCTTGTTGCTACAGAAGAAACCAAACACGTACGGAAATCCTTTAAACACTGACTATGCAATGAATGTGAGAAACCACTAAATACCAGGTGTAAAACTCCTGATCATACTTTGCACATGTATACATATATCATAATTACACAGTACAGTTGTCGGGAGAAATGCCGTAAAGGTTACATCTTGACTTGGGTAAATTGTTTGCAGTTGCCCCTGAGGTCGTGATGATTATTGTATCCAAAATTTGGCTCTCATCACAATGTTATAGTCACCACAGATGACTTTCATACCTAGTTAGATTGTAAGAATGGGGCATTATCTCATAAATGTGGACACTTAACCTAATAAACACTAACCATTTCCTGTGGAACATTTGCATCTCTTTCAAGTGAAAAAAACAATTCATGTAAACCTCTGGCAAGAAGCAATTCATTCAGCTGGCTATACTGGAAGCTGTTTTCTGTTGCCTGGACTGGATGGATTTGTACAGTTCAGCGTCTGCCCCTATAATAGGCCAGATAGAAGCTAGAAGAAAAGGATTATCATTTATCTTAATTTTTTTAACAACCCGTCCTGGTTTACTCCTGTCTTTCTGGCTTCTCCACGTGCTGACTATTTTCTCCTATCCCTTAAATTTACAAAGTTTCTAACCCCAGTACTCCTTCCCAGAGACACATCTCTATTCTGTTCCAGCTGTAGCTGCCATGCAGCTGACTCCACAATTGAATGACAACTCTAATCTCTGCTGTGAGTTCTGCTTGCGTCTCAAACTCTTCATGTTATTACATGGACTCTTTTACTTCACCCCTCAAATTCCTCTTATCATTGAGACATCACAGTCTTTCACAATATTTCCTTTTCATCTTTAGTCGGTTATCAAATCTTGAACTTGATAGAACTAGCCCAGTGTCCTTTCAGTTTATCCAATGTTATTGCTAGGTTTAATTGTCCATGTTTGCTGTTACCCTTAAAAGGTCTTTCCATCCCAAGTGGTGTGGCTAAGTGGACTGAGCACTGTCCTGCAAACCAGAAAGTTGCTGCTTCAATTCCGGGTCAGGGCACATGCCTGGGTTTGTGGGTCAGGTCCTTGGTAGGGATCTGCTAGAGGCAGCTGATGAATGTTTCTCTCCCTCTCCCTCCCTTCCCTTCTCTTTAAAAATAAATAAAATCTTTAAAAAATTCTTTTAGTGACTCTGTGCCGACCGCAAAATGTGGTAAAATGCTCCCCAGTCCAAGTGTACTCTGGACACAACCTCATATTTCCAGCCCAGTTACTGCTGATTCTTGTGGGTCCCTTGAGCTATTCTGTGGAATTCTCTTACAGTGCCTTTATTTGCCTATTCTCAAATCTTACCTTTAACAGCCACATGATTCATTTTCAATAAACTCCTACCAAAATATCTCCCAAAGCAAATATCGTGCATAGTATAGATTATACTGCAGTCTTTGTTTCATTCCAGTGACCCAAACACAAGTTCAAGAAGACAGTTAAGTTCTCACTGTGACTCTCACTTCCTTTTTTCTCAATTGTGGTCTTAGCCGCAAGTTTGTTCTCCTGTAAGGAACTTAGAAGTTGCCAACTTGTTCCTCGCAACAAGAAAAATTGGGTAAACTGAAACTCAGTAATGTTTTGTTGGACTTAATCAGAGAACTGAGGTCAGAGAGTGAACAGCCACTCCAAAATTTGAGACAGGCACATCCAGGGAGGCACACATGCACGGTACCCCAACTGGAAGAAGGGAACTCTGCTCTATTCCAACCAATACCAGCCTTCCTCTCACCAAAAGGGGCAAAACTCCACAGTCAACAGAAAGGAGGGGACACCAAGGCAACAGATTATGACTGCTGCAGGCAGGACAGGCAGTAGGAGCAGAGGGAAGAAAAGCTGGGTCTCAGGCGAGGGGTGCGAACACTCCATACTCCCTAAACAAGCCCAGTAAATAGCACAACTCAGCCTCCTTTTTCACTCCCTGCACAACACCAATGTTTCCAGTATCAGAACAGTGGTACACAGCTGAAAGGCTGTCCTGAGGGGCAACAGGAAAGAAAGTCCCAAAGTCAGAGAAGCACTCTGGCAGAGGGGGCGGGGGAATTGAAGTCTCTTGTACAAGAAACATTAAATACAACCCAACTCCCAGTAAGATCAATGAATCCTCACACTAAAGACTAATTTGTCTTGGTACTTATCACCCAGCAGCGTATCTCACCTTCAACAACAACAAAAACAAAAAGTTACAAGGCACAGCAAAAGGCAAGAAAAAAATCTAAGTCTGAAGAGATAGCAGTCATCACATCAGACTCAGATATGACACGGATGATAGGCAGGCAATTTAAATAGCTATGATTAATATGTAAAGAGATATAATGGGAAAAGTACACCGCATAAGATATCAGATAGGTAATGTCAGTAGAAATATGGTAACTATAAGAAAGACAAGAAAATGCTAGAAGTCAACAACAGAAATGGAGAATGCGGACTTCCGGCCAAGATAGAGGTATAGGCAAACACTGTTCCTCCTCGCACAACCAAAAGAAAGACAACCATAATTTAAAACTAAAAACAACTAGAACTGACAGAAAATTGAACTGTAAGGAAGTCCGACAACTAAGGAGTTAAAGAAGAAACACTCACCCAAACCTGTTGGAAGGC